GGGGACAGTCAGGGGATGTGGCCAGAAAAGACAAAACCACCAGCCCAAGCCCTCTGCAGCACAGAGCCATCTCCTGTTTCTCATTTCTCTTTTTTTTTTTTTTTTTTTTTTTTTTTTTGCATTTATATTCATTATGGATATGCCTCAAGTGACTTCTGAATTTAAGCTACTTTTGAAAGGTCAGCTCCAAGGAACTGTCTCAAACCGAAGCATCTGTAAAAAAGCCTTCTTCCAAAGCCTGACAAATCGAAAGTTATGATATGTACAAGCCAGTCAGCTCTCACCCAGGATTTCTACACAAACTGAAATTCATTGCTTTATTCACTGTGGTAAGAAATCTATCGCTTAAATGAACCTAAGTATCAAAGGACAAGGTGAAAAATGAGAGCTGTGATGTTTACCAAAAGAAATAGAAGAACGGTAAGACTGAGTCTTTCAGAGCTCACAAATTGGGTAAAAAAGAATTAGTAGACACAAATAAATCCAACCTACTGGGGAAGAAGCAACCTTTATCTGCATAATCCATGCCTTGCAAAGTATTCTTTGAGAAGTGAATGACAATATAGATGAGGATTTACCAACCTACAGAGTGCCAAAAGTCTTTGACAAGATCCCTTGTCCACCCAGAGAGTTACAACAGCTCTCCTGATGCTTAAGAGCCTGTTTTGCCACAGGTACTTATACACGTGAGCATTTCCAAGCACCAGCTCTCCACCCCAGAGAAGTTAACAAAGAGTTTGCTAATAGTCAGCTAAAGTATTTGCAGCAAAGAGTATCAGAATGGTGGGAAATACTGAGGAAAGGGAAGAGAATCATAAAGGCTGTCATAAAGAACAGCCACGTAAAAGAAAATTAATTGAAGTGAAAGGTCCTGGTAATAACTCTCTGTTTAGTCTAGCCATCAAACCAGCCCCCTCCCGCTGGCTCACTTTCTGTTTTGCCAGGGGACTCCACTGGCAGTTACAGGGCACGGGGCCAAGCCCACAGGGCTTGACTGCTACCAGTAGGAACACGAAGAAGTTGTTTTTCTGCCTTCAAGTTGTTTCCCCTCACTGCCCTTCTAAGGAAGCCACAGTTGGCCTGCCAAGTAATTCCAGCACATCCATACAGGGACTCTGTTGAGGTCAGTCTCTAACTGGGAAACAGGATTCCCACGGTTCTGTATTTAGCTGTGCCCAGCCCAGGCTGTGCACTGCTGAGCAGAGGTTAATGGATGAGAAAGGGTGGGTAAGGAGTTTCAGAGACTGTCTGAGGTTCTGCTTTCTCAGTCAGCTTCAGCTGGCCTGAGTGTGTGACTGCCTTGCCCTCTCATCGCCTCTCTCTCTATCACTGCCACGTTCCCATAGGTTGGGGACAGGGGACTTAGCTGGAACTGAGCTGATGGTGAAGCCATGTGCTGGTAGGCAAGTAGAGGAGAAGCTGCAAGGCTAGTTAATTCAGTCATCACGACGTGCTGAGGTGCAGTAAGCTGGTGCAGGGATACAGAGGCTTTTGGGAAGACAGAAGGAACATTTATTCTCCTCAAGTATTACTGTACTCAAGCCGTGCACTTCATTAGCACCTTCTTCATACATCACACTCATAACCCTGGCATCTGACATTTTGAAAGTACCTGCATCCAGCTGGCAGAAGATGACCTTTGTCATTGCTGTTTCTTCGCTGTTGAAACAAGTGAACCTTGGAACATCACTCTAGTGAATTTTAAAAATCTTAACAAAACCCAAACCAGCCCAAAAGATGATGTAACCTTTGTTCAGCTGAAGAGATTTCTGGAACCGTACCTATTTACCCAGCTGTACTGACTTCTACAGAGGAAGCACTGTGAGGATGACTCAAATAACATTACTGTCTTCTGCTCTGAGTCCAAAAGGAGCCAAACTGCCTCATAAGCAACTGTAGATAAAGACTAGCCTCCTAACTGACACGGACCAAACCCTTATCAAGCCTTAGGGTGTATGAATCCACCGAGTCAGGCTGCTGGCACAGATGAAAATCTATCTGAGACTCCTGGCTCCCGAATGACTCTCAAATCACTCATGAAAATGTCAACAAAACCCTGTATGAGGAAGACACTCACTTTCAAACCTAACCCATTTTGTGAGAGCAATTCTTATATTATTGTTTACCAACACAATGTAGGTCACTTGTTTGGCAGCCTCTGTGTCTCACTGGCACATCAATAATGCAGAAAAGCTTTATGGTCTGCTGTAGAAAACAGAGGCGAGGATGACTAAGACACTCCAAAGTCAGATTTCCAGAGCTGTCTGTGTGGTAGCTGTATTTTGAAATATTGGAATCTCTAGACCTAACGCTTTGTGACACACAGCTTACATCAAAGGGCATGTCTATCGTGCTCAATACAGACAGGAGTCCTTATCCCATGCTCTCTACTGGGTTAAAATAGTGACAGTAATTATTCATAGTATGTGTAATCTCAGTACGCAGACAAAAACTTTGAGAACTTATTATTCTGAAAATATGACCATCTCCTTTTCATATAAGTAAGATGATGCTCCAGGAAAGGAATGTTAGCCATATAAAAAAGACTTACTCAGAATATACATATTCATATTTTAGGTATCCATGGGATTTTACAAGGAAAGAGCTCATTGATACAAATGGTCACCCCAACTCCCACAAATCTACATTTGGGCTTCAACAAAAGAACTACTGCTAAAACAGCAGCAATATTAGCACATCTTCTCGAAAACCATTTCTGAAAAACAAAGAACCCATACACTAGTTCATGCAGAAAACAAAATGTCATCTGCTACTTTCTTTTCATTCAACAGTGCTCATTTTCCAAAGCTGCCTGATAATAACAGACAGGACAAAAGGGGTCATTCTCATCCGCTTTGGGCAAGGGATGCTGAATAGAAATTCTAATCCCGTCAGCTCAACACAGCCTGACTGCTAAGCATTAAGCAACCGTGACAAGTGCTGGCCGCAGG